GAGAGAGAGAGAGAGAGAGAGAGAGAGAGAGAGAGAGAGAGAGAGAGGGAGAGATTGAGAGCGTATGCCCAACAACATCTATCAACTCCACAATGTGCCAAAACTATTCAATCGACTTGAATTTGTTATTTATACTCGCTTCCATCCAAATTGAATTAGTTCTATAAATAAACGATTTAATGTTCAAAGTGAATTCATTCATATGCCAAAATAAATGCATATTCATCATTCATCATCAAAGAGTGTAGATGCGGAAAAGATATAAATAAAACTATAGACTTTTTGCCACTTTTTCGTTTGTAAAACCCAATTTAGGCGATTTGAAGATGACGAGAGGGATGGACACGAATGGATGAATGGAATATGTGATGAGTGTTTAAGTTGAAACAGAGATGGTTGGGATAGCAAGCCATTTCGAAAACTTTTCTTTTATTCGTTCTCGTTAAATGTTTATTTTATTTACTCAACATAAGAAACTGACCTTTGCTTGTTGCGCTAACATATGCCGAGGAACGTCTTTTTAAGCCAGATGTACTATCATCACCACCACCATCAATATGCAAAACCCGTGACAGCGATACAATCGTACGAAAACATTCCAAAACATTGATGTCATCCTTTGCAGAACATTCGATCACCTTGACTCTGTGTGGGCGAATGTATGAGAGAAAGAAAGGAAATCGAAACGAACGAACGAACATTTGTTATCCAGAGAAAGTTACATTCAGTTTTTAGCATCTCTTCTGTTTATACTCGCTAATTCAACTGACCTTAATTTTGGTAGCTCACAAAAAACCCACTCGGAAACATCTTCAATTTGAACTTCTCGATGAGTTGATGCTAAATCCAATTTATTACCGGCAACGACAATCGGTATTTCCTGAATGAAAAACATAGGTAAGAAAAACGAAATAAACAAGCACGTGTGTGTGTGTGTGTGTATGAGTGTTATGTTGTCGATTTTCAAACGTTTCATCGTTGGAGTTGTTGTCATTTTTTTCCCGTAAGTTAGACAATGTTTGTATGTGTTTTATTGAAAAATGAACAAAACTACCCTATGAATGTCCCTGTGTGCAATGCTTGATAATCGATTTAAGGTGCAAACGGGTGCATTCATTGTATAACAACAAAAAGATACCTGATAATCGGCTCTTTGTTCTCTAATCTCTTCAAAACACTTTTTTACGCTTAAAAAGCTTGATGCAGATGTTGATGCATACACGAGCATAAATGCATGTGCCGTTGCTATTGATAAGCGTCGCATCGCAGGAAATTGCTGGTCGCCGGATGTATCCAATATATCGACCTATAGAAATAAAATGTCGAAACAATATCGACGAAAACAAAATAAAAAAATAGAAACACACACACAAAATAACAAATAAAAAATAAAACAGAAAAAGAGATAATAATACGCTTTAGACATGCTTGCATAGTGGAAATATATAAGCGCAAATCGCATCGTCGAACTTCGGTCTTGAGTATCCGACAAAATTCAATTATTGTAATCAATTTACGATGCTATGTGAAGGGAAACTCTATGCGAGCACACTGTGTATGCCGAGGCATTTTACCATTATAGAAAAACATATTTGCAAAGATCTATCCCCCTCGCCTTGCTTCGTTGTTCGTCGCTCTTTTGCGCTCGTTTCATTCTGGCAACGATTTGGAAAACATGGTATTTCCATGTCATGCCATTCACGTGAAGATTTTTGCGAGATTTTCGCCAAATCCAATTTTCGTGCGACAGGAAAACTTAGACTACTATCCGAATCGACAGTGAGCGATCGAAGCAAGGCGAGGGATGCAAACCGAGTACAAAACGTGTTAGCGAATTGAGTGCACACCGACAAACGCACAAAAAAATAGCGAGCACTTGATTTAAACCAACATTGAAACCGTGCTAAGTTCTTACAACTTCCCATTTTACAAATACTCAAATAAAAATGAAAACGGGTCGCTGATTTGATTTCAATAATAAATTTCACTTGAAAATTGCAGGAAGTGCAATTGCAAATAAATCCTATCGCTCTCCGTTTTTTTTTCTACTTAAATTTTTTGCGAGAATTGAATGGGAAAAAACATTTTATTCAAAAATTGGTGTTATTTTGTTTACCTTTAGTGTTACATTTCCAAAATCATATTCACGATTATAGAGATCTTCGATGGTTGCACGATATTTGTCCGAGTAGCTTTTAAATAGAAATCTCTTAACAATGCACGATTTTCCAACACCAGGTCCTGGACAAATTTACAAACAAAAATGTTGTTTATTGGCGATGAATGACATCGAACAAAACACGCTTCATTGTTCTATTATTTGAAATTTACCTCCCAGTATAACCAATCTTAATCGCTCTAAATCTGACATTTTTCCGGTTTCCAAAAATCGTTCGGTAAAGCGCACACACACAAACACACACAGAATTTATCTGTGTATAATAGTAAAAAAACAGACCGTAACAGAATATCGCTGCCGAACCGAGATTTCGACCAACAACAAAAACAAAAACAGAAACAAAAATTAATCTTCTTGGATTCTTCGGTCTCCCACTCTGTCGCTCTCACTCTTGTATTCGTCGGCAAAACAAAAATAACTTGTGTTAGCACTTAATGTGGTGTTCGTTTTATATGAAAGAAATGTCCTGTCATCGAATCAGCTCGAATCGCAGTTCATCAGTTCGTCAAATAGGCAGGATTAGTTTGATCACGTGTTGATTGTATTCGTGTTTATCTGTGGTACATGTATAAAGTATACTTCTTATTCGATTTTTGTTTTCTTCTTTTTTTCCATGGAAAATATTCACATTCGCTTTAATTCATCCGATGATGATTTTGATTTAGATTCGAGTGACTCTGCAAGTTTTGGATGTAAGAAAGAAATTGGATGATAAAAAAAACAACAACATAAGAAAATAACTTAATGAAATGTCGACGTGTGATTTTTTGTTATAAAATTAACAGATATAGAGAGAGAACGAGATTATAAGCGATAGAGAGACAGATTTCTTTAAAATGGTTCGATTGACACGGTGTGCTGGTCCAACCAACTATTTCGAACTGAGCGCGTTGGAATTCGACTGAGTGCCACTTTCGATTGAATAACCGATTGTCTGTGGGCGCCTTCTTTTACCAATGTATCCATTTATACAAGGATATTATGTATCCACATGTGTGCTGTATGGTGTTTGCATACATATATGTGTGTGTGTACATATTTATATAATTTTCAAATAAAGCGGTGTGTTGTCATTTTTGCAATCAACAGCAAAAAGTACACCTCATTTTTCAGCCCCATATTTAAAATAACGCGCCGTTGCACAACGTAATGTGCAGTATGCATATCGATTATCTGTCGCTTTGAATTACACGCATATTCGTTTTTGCAAAACAACAGTCATTGATGTCTTTCAACGGTACACAATAATAGATTATTACTTTTCTTTTTTTTACTACTTGATGCTGTCGATGAGTAATGCATATTATATATGTGTGTGTTTGTTTGTATTCATTGAATTTGTTGTTGCAACTACTTCTGTTCTGTCGCATGTCCTTTTGCCAGTTTTCACTCAAGTCGGCATGACACAAACGGTTCAGCTTTAATATGAAATGTTCTGAAATTTATTAATATGTAAAAAGTCGATAATTGGTTGTGGCATTCAAACGGAGTACTTTCACTGGTAAACGCCTTGTAGCTTTGGCAATAGCATTCGCAGCGGCAACAACACTTTGAATACAGTATTTCTACAAACACCCTAATGGACAATGACTATGAGTATATGCATCAGTTGACATACAACACAATTATCTCCATGTGCTTTTCTAAAGCATGCTAAAGAGAGAGAGAGAGCGGAAGGGAGACAGAGTATGTGTACAATGTACACGCTGCATGAAGTTAATGGCACTTTGTGTAAAGCGTGCACTCTCTATCTCCCTTCACTTCCTCTCTCTCGCTCAGCCTCTCTCTACCTCTCTCTCTCTTTCTCTCTCTCTCTCTCTCTCTCTAATGTAAATTGTGCTGCGATTCAGATCCGAAAATTATCACCATAAACATAAACCTAAATTTCAACGCAAATTCATTGCCCTGATTATTTCCGATCTGATTATCACATTATGTAACGATGATTTTAACTGCATCATCTTGTCATAATACGACTCTAATATAAATCTATTTGATGAACGTGAACTACATCATCGCACAGTACACGCTATAATGCAGTTCGCATACATACGTACGTACATACGTAAATACGGGATAAATTATGCCAAATATAGAGAATATACATATACGTACACCAACATGCACACATAAACACAGACACACACACTTCTCTAATCTCGTACACGGGACATCAAACGCTGTAATTGTGCTTGCTGCTTCAAAGGAAATTCTCATCTGCTTTTTTGACTGTTTGCTTCGATTGGATTCGTCTTTTTTGCCCCTCGAAACTTTTGTTGTTTTAGCGTGCTTTTCTCGTTTTCGTTTGGGTTTTATTTTATTTGTTTCTGTTTCGTTTTTAAATTATTCAATATATATCTCTTGAATTCAATTAAACTTTAATTATTTTTCGATTGAATCCGATATAAATACATAATATATCCGAAATAAATCCACTGCAAAATCACACATCAATTGATAAGAGTATCACGTAACACGCGTCATTTTAAAAGCTATCTGGTAATTTTGATTAAAAAATTAACACTAAAAAAAGTTGTTCATGATTGATTAAAATTTTCGATTTGGACCAACAGAGAGCAAATAAAAGACTGTATACGACGACGATGATGATGGCGACAACGAAAACAACGACAGCGACCACCATCAATGCATTAAGCGACTAAGCGTTTTAAAGCGTTTCAATCGCCATCACTTTGCTAAATTGTTCATGACTTTTTATACATATACACACTGTTTTGTCGTCTTCGTGTTTTTGCTGCTCTCTTACAGCCTTATATGGCGCTGTCGTTTGGTTGGCGTCGATCTTTTTGCTGTTGTTTTTGATCCAGATTATATGTGAAAATAAAGTTTATTTACACGCTGACGATGATAAAATAGTTATAATAATAATAATTTCAATAACAACAACTATATTAATATACACACATTGCACACACTAAGGTAAAAATATACACACTAATCTTTTGGGGGAAAGTATTGCCTCAGTGATACCACAGTCTGTTTTATTGCGAATGAATCGTGTATTGTAAGCCACCGTTTGTTTCACCCTATCGAGAGAGAGACAAGAAACGTTCGTTCTCTCGCTCCTTTCTCTCTCTTTTTTTGTTTGTATCCTGTTACGCTTTCATAAACAGTCGCACACACCACGCGCGCTATATTTTGTCTTGTTGGCGTTGTTGTTCTTTAGACTGTTAAAGCATGTTGTCGAGTAAAAGAGATGTGTATGGTGCGATTATTTCGGTTTGCTCTTTCTACCGGAGAACGCGTACATTTCCCCTCATACACAAGCACACAGCACCAGAGTGAGAAAAAAAGCACGACGAAGAAGAAGCGACAAACTTTCTCGCTCCCTCTCTGTCGACTTCATAAGAAGGAAGCGAGAGCAATAACACAGCAACGACCGCTTCTGACAACAACAATAACAACAATAATATTTAAAAAAAAAAGAAGAAAGAAGAAGTTATTAGTGCTACTGCGCCTGTAAATTGTTCAACCCCTCCTGATTTTCCGCTTTAGTTTCCTTTTGAACGATTCAATTTATTCTGAAAATAGAAAAATTATTGGAAAAAAGCTAAAGCATGTTTCCTTTTTACATTTAAACATACGTTGCTTATTATTTGCTCCCCTATGCCGTCGTCGTATTTGGCCACGTTTTCATTTTTCTCTCTGTTAGACACTTAGCTCTAGTACACGCTCCTCGATTTTTCTCGTCATAAAAATGTCTCGAGTCATCATTTTAAATATACAAAATGGTCAATATAAACACCATAAAAGCATTCAAAGCGTTCATATTGAGTAAAAGCAACGATGTATATACGTAAAATTCGCATAGTAAACAAGAGAATAGAAGAATGAAAGAGATGTCGATACATGAGCATAAGGAAAATAAAAATTCTTACTTTTGTTCGTTAAGCGATAGTATGTTCGAGGTATAATATCAAAAGCTTTTCACAAAAAAATTAATTCAATTCCGAGAACTTTTGGACGGAGAGTGAAAAAGAGCGAGAGAGAGAGAGATAAAGCGAATGCGAATGGACGGGAGCACCTTGTTTCTGGTTAAACGAATACGCGAGCACAAAATTGAACAACAACTTTACAGAGAAAACTTCTGAAAGTCTCCGTTTCAAAACTTCGATACAGAAAAATTCCAGTAACTTTGCATATTGATGGGAAAACTCATTTCTTTAAGTGCGTATCGAATGGTAGAGGTCGCTCCACATGGTTGGCCTTTTTGTCACGTAATGAAATAGCAATATAAAAAGTTTCTTTTTTTTTCTGGCTCTTTCTCTATTGCTGTGTCGTATATTTGCTCTAACATTAGGATGGATTTTTTTATGAGCTTTATTGAAATTTTTGATACATGAAATGGACTTGAGTTTTGCGACTCATCAATTTGATTTGTGGTTTGTGCCAAAGCATTGGTTGGACGCTATTTCTGCTGTTGCTGTAATATCACATAGTGTGTGTGTGTGTGCTCATTCGCATTTTCAGCCAAATGGACCTTTTTTTACCACGGTTTTTGTGCGTGACTTCGCAAATGGGGGGTTTTCACACAGGTTTGCATCTCAGCAATGCCTATTGTGCACTTTCTGTGATATACATACACACCCACACGCAAACATTTCGTTTTTGTTCACTTTGTTTGCATGTTAGTGTTTGTGCCAAATGTACTACCGCTCTTTCAACTAAATAATCTAAATAATGAACGGCAGAAAATGCTTTTGAAAGCCATCAAAAGCACTAGAGTGACATTTGATGTGCATTTTTTTGACCCATTATCTTCAATGGAAAAGAGACGATATATGAGCATCGAGCACACACACACGCACACCATAACATCAATATAAGCATTTGTGAGTAGCACTATTTTAATGTGATGAAAAAAATTGTTTGCTCAAAAGCCTAGCTAAATTGCACTTTGCGGAGAGATCGTTTGCAATAAAGAAAAGTGCAATACTCCCGCCCCAAAAGTCACAAACAACAGAAAAACAGAGGGAGAGAGAGAGATAGCACATGAAAGCGTCTAATGATTTTGCCAGATAGCTTTTGGCCGTTTAGAATGACGTCTTATGACTCGCAATTAGTCATCAGGCACGCCCAACAATGAACAAAGAATCTGATAAAGTAGTGTCGTGTACTCAAAGTTTATAGTGCGGTTTGCAATCAACTAAATAACGTGCATACCGTATACACTCCACTAAGAATAAAAACTACCATTTTCAATTTGACTGTGCTGTGATAAAAGCCGGATACGAAACATACTCAATCACATTTGGAATTCGAATCACTTTGGTGCAAGTCTCAGGTGAAATATTTATTTGGTTGGCTTTTTACCCCGTAATTGATTCAAATTAGAGACTCAAAGCGAAACTAACCCAACCAAACAACACTGTTGCGTGTCACGCACATAACTATACATGTGTTATTCCATTTCTCTTCGATAAACTACCACTAAAATTCCCGAAGCTATCATTTTAAGTGCGAGTACAATTCAAAATTGAATAGACGGTCACCCAAAATGAGCACATGATGAAAGATAGACAGTTAGATAGAAAAAGTGAGACGGCAAACACAATGAAAAAAAAAATCATCAACGACGACGACGACGATGGCAATGAATTGTTCATGTCTTTAGTGGTACACAGGGAGTTAGAGAAAGAGTATGTATGTTTGCTGTCTGTTATATCACAGTTGCTGACTTTGAATTTGACAAAAGAGTCAAAGCACCAACATGTTGCTATCCATCCAAAAGTTACGCATTTCACAGCCTATAGTTTCAATGCGTGGAAAATCGACAGGGTTATTGTTTACCAAAGTGAAAATGAAGAAGGAGAGGATGTGTGTTTTAATTGAAAGAGAAATAGAGCTCACGATAATCAATTCTTCCATGTATCAACTCAATGGATTAGGCAAATAAATTCCGCTGTAAATGAGAAGTAATTTTAAAATAGATGTGCTAACCGCAGGCATTTTATTCGCTGAAAATTCTATTAAGCGATTGTTGATTACAACACAAATTTACGTCGATTGCAACGGAACGTAAATCTTCCTTGGTTGCTTGAATTTTGGTAAATATTCGCGCGATAAAATGCGCACACTTCTCCGTGCTCATGTTTTGGCGAATACGAGTGGGCGCTCACCCAATTGCTATTTGCTGCCAGTGTCAGATTCACTTTATAATGTAAAGTAAACGAGATCATAATAGTCAAAAATTGAAAACTAATTTCGAAATTATGTAATTGTCAGCACCAAAGCAATCGTATGCAGATGAACGAACAAAACGAATTTACATAAATTAGCACACAAACGAGAACGCGGCCATCATAATTCTAGAAAGGAAGACGAACACTGGTTCACTTATGCTTCGCACTAATTCCACTGATGCGAAAGCGCCCGAGTAATGATGGTGAGCTAAGCGTTCTCTCCCACTCTTTCTGCTCCCTCTTCCTTTTCATTCGCTCTTAATTTTCACTATTATCAAACGCATTACGTGTACTATAATGCGCGGAAAGCGATTTAAATTATATCAGTTAAACGATTACGTGTGCATTGATACGCCTGAAATAAAATATCTAATACAACCGAATTATAATTTCTATATCTATCGAATGTTTAATGACGGTGATGGTAGTGGGGTGGTGGTGTTACATCGGTTGGGTTGCGTATTGGTGGGGTGTACACGCTTTCTCATAGATGCCTTGCAGTGTTCAATTAGCTATTTCCCATTCACGTGATTAGTTTTATATGGCATTCGATCGAAGAGCAAAAGCTCCCTTCCTCGCGTACTATCGCGCACAAGAGCGAAATAAGTGAGTTTCGGATTTCAACACTCCATCCTTTTCCTTATTGTATTCAAATTAATAGCTCGGAATGAGGACGATTTCTCGATGAAACAGAACATGAGAAATTTGTATGACGCTGTTATTGCGTTTTTTTTTTGTTTTCGTCTCTTTTTCACTTGAACACATCACAAGCACTCGCACACATGCACACATAATCTCCCTCCTTTTTATCTTTAACTTCCGATAATTTAAACTCAATCGGAAGTTTCTATTATTTCGCACCATTCAATAATGCGCACTTGACGCTCTCCAATGGGAATAGAAACAAGCTTTTTCAAAATAATACCATTGTATAATCATCTTAACATGAAGATAATCAACAATAATTAAACGTAATCTGCTACGAATTTTGAAAACTATATTGAATCGCATACTCTTTCTGTGTTATTTTCTCATAACTGGGGTGACATTAAGCATTCATTTCGATGCTTTTGCACGCGGTTGACGCGGGTATTTCACGGCTTTCCATAAACTTTTAAATGTATTAGCAAATGGGCGACAGTTATCAGTCAGAATATGTTTTGAAATTGTGTGGATGGCGTTGGAAAATTTAATTCATACAAGCCGCTACACAATAACAATTATTATTAGCTTTTACTTTAAGCAACTGGCACATCGAACACAATTGTTTTTGTCGGTCTTCGCTGGTGCTGTCTCTCTCTCTCTCTCGTTCTGTCTGCCCGTGTCCTATTCTCTTCGTTCCATTCGAAAAAGTTTGTACGCCATGTGTCAAAGTTCATGCTCAGGCTGAATTTACTGCATGTAATTTGATAGCGAATAAAAAAACCTATATCGAGGTAAAGATTGAGTGGCGAAACCAAAATTAGAACCATAAAATGTTTCACATTAATTTTGTGACTGAAATTTTTAGTAAATAATGTTTCCCAAAAAAAATTGACTCAAAACATATACAAACGGAATCAAAACTTCACAACAAGTGGCATTCTAGTCATATATCATTTGCGTCAAATGAAGGCCACAAATTAGTTATCGTTTGAAATTTCGTGCACATTGTGATCCTTTCATCACTCACGTATACTTTTGTCCACTATGGCACATACCCAGTACGTATTTGACGTCATCGAAAGAAAGTTTTAGTGGATTGCTTTGATGGCGGATAGCTCATGTCATTTTCAGTTTGCTTGTCGAAACGC